TTTTTGTTTACTGATTTTGTTTATTCACAGCTCACGGTTGCTTAACCAGGCAGGAGCAGAATGCGGTCGCTGCGAGGTTGGGATTGTGTGGAGAAAGGGGAAAATGCCAAGGGGAGGAGGGAAAGAGAAGAAATAGCTCCCAGCCGGAGGATTTTGGGGTTATCTTCTTTTTTTGGGGGGGGGTCGTTTATGACTTAAATCATGAGGAAGGGGAATGGAAAATGAGAATAAAAAAAAGAGGGCAGAAATGTGGGGAGGGAAGAGGGAGAGGAAATAGGGAGAAGAAATGAAAGTGGGGAGGAAAAAGGAGCGAGACGAAATAAAAGGAGGTGGGGCAGGAGGAAAAATAGGGAGAAGAAATTAAATTGGGGAAGAAAGAGGGAGGGAAAAAAGAGTGAGAAGAAAGACTAGAAGGGAGGAAAGGAGGGACGAAAAGGGAGGTAGAAAAAAGGACGGAGAAGAAATGAAAGTGGGGAGGAAAGAGGGAGGGAAAACAGAAGGGAAAAAAAGGAAGGGAAGAAAGGAAGGGGAAGAAATGAAAGGAAGGAGAAAAAAATGGAAGAAGGGAGGAAAAGAGGGAGAAAAAGGAGAGAGAAAAATGAAAATGGAGAGGAAGGAGGGAGAAAAAAAGGAGCGAGAAGAAAGAAAAGGAAGGAAAGAAAGGAGAGACAAAAATAGAGGGAGAAAAGGTGAAGGGAGAATAAAAAAGGGAGAAGAATAAAAGGAGAAAATAAGAGGGGGGATAAAAGGCGGAGGAAAATAAAAGGAAGGAAGGGGTGGGGAAAGAGCGAGGAAAGTAAAAGGAGGAGAAGAAATAAAGGAGTATATAGACGGCGAGAGAATGAAAAAGAGGAGAGGAAGATGAAAGGGCAGAGGAAAAAATGAAAGGGGAAAAAGTAAAACGGAAGAAAAATCCAAGGGGAGAGGAAAAAAAAAAAAACAGGGGAAACGGCGAAAAAACCAAAGGGGGAGAAAAAAGCGAAAAAGGGGAGAAGAAATAAAGGGAGGGAAGGAAGAGAAATGGGCGGAGAAGGAAGAAAATAGAAGGGGAAATGAAGAAAAAAGAGGCGAAACTCCGCGGAGGGAGCGAGATGCGAGCGGAGCCGAGCGGGGCCGGACCCGAGGCCGGGAGCGGGGGCGGGGGAGATGTCCTTGTCCCCAAAGCGGCGACACCCCCGCGCCCGTGCCCGCTGGCCGCGGGAGCCTTTTATGTGCTAATGCCACCCATTGCACGCCCCGCTTGCCGTCGTGTGTGTCCTTGGAGAGATCCCGACACATTTCAGCCCCAGTTGTTTTTTTTTTTTAGGAAGATTCTTTTTTTCCCCTTCTCCTCTTTCCCCCTACTCGCCTCCCGCCACCCCCCACCCCCGCCCCGCTCCTCCCCGCTCGTTCCCTTTCTCCCCTTTTCTCTCGCCGCGGACAATGCGGAATTTTAAGAAGGATTTGGATGTTAGTTGGGAAAGCAACATCGCGGCGTGGCCGGCGCCGCGTGGGAAAAACAACAAGTGGTTGGGAAGAGGGCGAAAAAGGGAATGGAAGGAGAGGATGCGGGAGGTGTTGAAAATAAAAAGCTCTGCCCTTTTTCCACCGCCCGCCGAAAATCTGGGATGCTGTCCCGGCAAAGGCAGGGATGCGCTGCCCCTGCGAGTCCTAAATCCCTCCCGGTTAACGCAGCTGGGATGATTTTTCCAGGATCGCAGGGCTTTGGGAGAGATGTCCCGGATTCCCACCTTGAGCGGGAGGAGCGGATTTTCCCTGGCCGCGGTGTCGGGGTGGGATGGGTGGGAATAGTGCGATCCTGGCAGGGATCCCGCGGGCATGGAGATGTCCCGGCGGGGATAGCGGGATCCTGGAAGGAATAGTGTGATCCTGCGGGGATGGGGGTATCCTAGAATGGATGGAGGGGTTCCGGAAGGGATGAAAGGATGGCGGCAGAGACATCGGAGATTCCAGCGGGGGCTGGAGGGATTCCGGCGGGGGGATCGGAGGGATCCCAGCCGGGTATGAAGCGATCCCAGCCGGGTGTGGAGCGGCAGCAGCCGGGAGATCCCGGGTATGCCGGCAGGGACAGCGGCGATGCCAGCCGGGAGCGGCGGGGGTCCCATCGGGCGGCGGCGGCGGAACAGAGATTCAGGGGGAAAAGCACCGCCAATACGACTTTAATGGAGTTCTGCGGCAGCTGCGGCCGCTCGCTACCAGAATACACAGTTCGAAGACATAAATAAAGCATACAGAAACGATAAATTAATCAGATCCGAGTAGTTTACTCTCCCGGGAACTTAAAGCATTTGCTTCAATTGCAACAATCTATCCTGCCTTTTCTTAATTTTTTTTTTTTAGTATTTTTTTCTTTTTTTTTTTTTCTTTCCCACGTTTCAAGACTTTTGGTTCTCATTTTC